ATTAATAAATTACATCAAAAGAACTTTATACAATATTTAATAAATGAAAAATCAAAAATTTTAAACCCATTTGTGATAAAAAATACTTTTAAACAAGAACACTTCTCCCATATTAAAAGAATAAAAAAATTTTGATTTGTTAACACACATTTTAATATATTATGAATATATTGTTTTAGGTAATATATTATGGAGAAATTATGTTTTATGTAATGAAATAGTTTACAAATAATAAGAAAAAAATTTCTTCTTTAATAGATAATGCAAAATTGTTTTATTTTTCTTTAACTTTTGAACTAAATTTTCATTCTCTATTTTAATAACTATTTTACATTCCTTCAAAACTAAATTTTTAATTTTTACAATCATATTTAATTTTAAGTCTTTTAATCAAAAAAAATAATAATAAAAAAAAGTATATATATATATATATATATACACGATTTTTCTTAGAACTTTGGTCAGAACTCGAATTGCTTATTTTTCAGCCAATTTCTCTAGTTGCTTAATGGTTGCTTAAGTTTCTTAGTCTAAATTTCAGTGTTTTTACGAATAAGAGACAAAATACGGTTTAATATCAAGTCTTTAACAGAAGAGTGCTCTTTACAACTAAAATCACTTAAATTCTAATAAAAAAAAAGATCACAAATGTTTCTCTCTTCTGCTGGATCTTTATTTTCTTCATCTCCATTTTCTTTGTCCTCTTGTCCGTCTGATTTTTCTACTTGTCCAGTTCCTCGTCTTCTCCGTCTGATTCTTCAGACAAAACATTAATAGGGTTATCCTTTACTTCGTCTGGAATAGGAGTCTCTGTGATTTCCACCAGGTTGTCAATGTCAACAGGGGGTGGAACAACATAAACAGGCATGGCTTCAGGATTCATCTTATCGTCCTCGTTATCATCAGCCGTGATAAGACATCCTGTTTTCGCAAAGCTCCTATAAAGCATACGAAGAAATTTCTGGTCTTTGGATGTTTTACGATAAGCTTCACCGAACCAACGAGTTATCAAAATGCGGCAATCTTTTGCCGAGAGTTTCCGATCATTGTTGCCAAGCCAGAATTCAATGTTTTCATCATTTTTGAGCCAGATGTTTTGTTCTGCTTTAATATGTGATTTAAATGCTTTTCCTGGTCCGGCATCAACAGGTTGCCAAAAATGTGTCCTGTTAGGAACACCAAACCAGACAATACCTTTACGTTATCGCACTTCATTCAAAAACTCATCACTGACTTGGGCTGGGTCATCGCAGAACAAAACATACTCATCCAGGTTAGCGACAGCATTAGAGAGAGTGTTCTTCACCCATTTCACGGAAAACGCTGTATCTGCCCATGCATTTGGTTGCCGGTACACATCTACATCAGTGTCATAGGCTAAAACTTCATCTTGACTAATCCTTTTCCCCTTACCTCTGAAAATCAATGCTGGCTTCACCATTCCTTCAGGACTGAAACATATTTGAAGGGTAGCTTGTCGCTTATCAAGCCCACTGCCAGGTTAAGCTACCCATACTCTATGGTCCCTTCGTTCTTTTCCCTTACTCTTTGGAATTTCGTATGTTCATTTGCTCTCGACTACAAACGGGAGTGGAATTTGATCTACATTGATTCTCTTTTTCGGTGGGAAACGCCCCCATTTTTTATCGTATGTGGGTTTGCCACTTCCAGACTTAATCAACTTTTCTCTCAAATTTGAATGCCATTTCATCAGAATCGAGGTTTGCTTCTTTATGTCAGCTTGGCGTTTACGTTGAACACACAGCATGCAGATCTTATTTTTCCTTAAGAAATGAGTGACTATTGATTTTGGCAATCTGTCAGTATTCGAGCTTTGTTGTAGATGAATTTGATTCGCTCGAACATACAACCACTCAAAGTTAACTTTTAGCCCCTTCTTTCTTACTTCGAAGAATTTTTCATAAAGTTAATCAAACAAAGCTTTGTGTTTGTCGCCTCTTCGGCATTTCCTGAATAACGTGTTTTTATTTTTTTCGTTGTACTTGTTGTAAATTTCTTTTTCCTTTGATTTCCATCGCGTAATCATACTCTTATGAACGTTATACTTTTTTGCTACATTCCTACTTAACATACCATAATTAATAATTCGTTAGCTTCAACATCAGTAACAAGCTTCTCTAAAACTGATTTCAGAGTTTTTTTAATATCATCATACTTGTTCTTTCCATCAATGATTTGATCCAAGCTCATTGATTTCGGGTCTTTGTCAGTTTGAGCAATATCCATATGCGATAACTTATTTTTACACCAAAACTCGTGCATCGAAAGGGCTTTTGATGTTTTCAGTGATTTTTTGCAAACAATACATTCAAACAAATTATCTACTGTTTCCTTCGGCACTACATTTACCAACTGGCCACGATGACAAATCTTTTTGGTAAAATCAAAGTTGAACAAATTTGTCTGCTTTCTCTTACTCATGATCTTAAGCGTTGTCAACAACATACACAACAACAACACTACTGTGATTACTTTCTTTTGAAATCGTTTATCTAAAAGAAGTCATTACATTGCAGAGAAAATATTGCAACTTATGAGTTGCTTTTGTTAACATTTGTTCAGAACTGAAGTTGCTTAATATTTTTTCACATTGAGTTCAGTTGCTTATAAACAAGTTGCTTATACAAAAAAAATTGTGTATATATATATATATATATATATATATATATATATATATATATATATATATATATATATATATATATGTATATATATATATGTGGAAACAATTTTAACACAAGTTCATCAGGACTATACAAATGATAAAATTTTGAGAGCTCTAGTTTGTCTCGAAAGTAGTGAAAAATCACAAGACTCTGCTACAAAAAGGTGAGACACATGACCCCCTCTCTGGTGTCATGCATATTCATTGTCACTACAGAAATGCCAAAGGTTTAAAAGCTCTAGCTAGTCCGGAAGGTATTAAAAAATCAATTTCAATATTCCGCTACAAAAAAGTGATGACCATGCCCTGTTATATATAAATATAAATATATATATATATATATATATATATATATATATATATATATATATATATATATATATATATATATATATATATATATATATATATATATATATATATATATATATATATATATATATATTTATAAAAATGCTGCAAGTAACCAATGTTACTTGCAGCATTGTTATAAAACAAGAGTTGAAAGTTACTGGAAAAAAAAAAGAAGTTTATAGAGCAAGATAGCGAATGACAGACTACTTAAAAGATTGCAAATTATATGAATCAGGAAAATAAATAAAAAAAGCGAATTCCAAAAAAATGATGTTCGAGGATAAAAACTAGACAAATAAGAGTTTTTGGGGTACATTAGGGGTACATTTGGGGTACACTTGGGAACATTACCGTTTATAAATAATAAAAGGTCTAAATTATTTTCAAAAATAATTGGCTAAAAAAATTGGGTTTTATCTGGATAAATTTTCACCAGCCAGAGTAAGCCCCATGCTGTTGCAAAAGTGAGATCCTTTTCAAGCTTAAGTACCCTCTCCAAGCAATCAGAGAGTGTTGGCTTCTTATCAAGATAAAAATAAATGGTAGTATCATCAGTGGACAATGCTACCTTAGATGTGAGAACTTTTAGGAGATCGTAAATGTAAATTACAAAGAGTATAGGGCAGAGGATAGAACCTTGAGAAACCCCTTAAGTTACAGAAGAGGAGTGCTGTTCATCAAGGACAGCTTTTATATTACAATTAGAAAGGAAAGATTCAATAATCTTAAAGATGTTACCAGATACATCATAAGTAGAAAGCTTATGGAGAAGACCAGCACACCAACCTTTATCAAAAACTTTTGAAATGTCAAGAGCGATAGCCTTAACCTCTTCACTTTTATCTAACGCACAATAAATTTATCAGTTATTACTGTTACCAAATCAGCTGTAGAACAAGAAGAGTGAAATCCATGTTAATGATCAGAAAGTAAGTTATTAGATTCAAGATGAGAGATGAAGTGTTTGTTAATTAAAGATTCAAAAACCCTGCTTATAATAGGAAGAAGACTAATAGGACAATAGTAAGACAAGTCAGATCACTCTCCAGAATTTTTTAAAATAAGGATAACAAATGCTTTCCAGCAGGCTGGAAAACAAGTCTCTGATAATCACTTGTTAAATAGTTTTAAAAGTATAGACAACAACTTCGGAGAACACTTCTGCAAGAATATAACAGATATGTTGTTCGGACCACAAGCTGTAAAAGAGTCTAAACAGGAAATCACTTTAGATACAGAAGCTGGAGTAATACCAATGTCAAGCAACGAATCAGCCTGATTTTCGGCTATATCAGGTAGAAAGCAACTAGTGGAATCAAGAGATGATATTGATGAAAAGTTTTTAGCAAACAATTCATCTTTAGGTGAAGAGACAAAATTTGAACCATTCAAGAAAGGTGGAATAAAAGATTTCCCCATATTATTCATACTGTTAAAGACTTTCCAGTCACGAGAGCCTAATCTTGATAAAACACAAGATTTTATGCCCTGTCAATACCGAACTTTGGCATTACGTCTGTTTACTATTGCTAGAAATCTTTTTACAATAGCCATTATCTAATAAAAGTAAAGTGGTCATATTTCTGCATATTCTTGGAGCCAGAGGCTAAAATTTTCAAGTAAAAATTATAAAAAATTGCGTACGCAAATCACTATTTTGTACACAAAATACAGACTGCGTAACACTTCTTTACAAGGGCTATATATATATATATATATATATATATATATATATATATATATATATATATATATATATATATATATATTATATATATATATATATATATATATATATATATATATATATACAGGGTCTATTGTTAAAATTTAACATACATAACAAAATTTTATGACTAAAACAGACAGCAAAACAAAACAAAACAAAAAAATAGATAATAAACAAAACATAAATAAATACATATTTAAAAACTTATAAAAATTGTAAAAAAAAAATTACCTGAATAAAGGCAACAGTCACAACAATTATAACAGCCTAGGTATAAAATGTTTCATAAGTCAATTAAAACAAATATTTTGGGTTAAGCATTTAATTGAATATATTATATATTAGTATTTGAAATAACTCTCATGAGAATGCCTTACCACAGTAATACTAATAGCGTCATCATATTGTCCCATGCAAATACTGACTAAACCACTAGTTAGTAGCAACAATATCATAGGCTCTTTAAACTAAAAAATCATAATTATAGATTATTATAATACACAATATTAGTAACAAAGTATATATATATATATATATATATATATATATATATATATATATATATATATATATATATATATATATATATATATATATATATATATATATATATATATATATATATATATATATATATATTCGATTCCAATGCCGAAGCAATGCCAACCTAGAAGAAATTGAGGTTAGCAAAAATCACCAGCCTTATTTCTATGCTTTATGGTCAAATCTTTGTTTTACTTTTTTATTGCCGACCTGATGCCAACCTCACACAGATCAGATTTGGCAAATTTTTGCCAACCTTATTTTTCCTAATTTCAAGAGTTATATATATATATATATATATGCTGATATATATATATATATATATATATATATATATATATATATATATATATATATATGCTGATATATATATATATATATATATATATATATATATATATATATATATATATATATATATATATATATATATATATATATATGTATATATATATATCAGGCCTTGGCATGAAACAGGAACAATTGCTTTTGTCATGTGAAGCACGCTTGTTAATAGAATATTTATAAATTGCGGGCGCGATAAAAAATGTTCGCTAATTTAGATACAAAAATTAAAAATCGCGCTCATTCTAAAAATTTGGGAGGGAGAAAATTAATAGTTGTTTACTTGATTTTATATTAAATTTTTTTTATAAAAAGTTTTTGTTAAAGTTTCTTGGTTAATTCAATAAAAAAGTTTGTGTATTGTTAAAAATAAATTAATCTCTATTAATTTGTTTTTAACAATATCTTTAATTGCTTTTTTTCAACTGAGGTATAATGTTAAAGTTATATTTCAATTAAAAAACTCATTTTTTCACATTAACTTGCGTCATTCTGTTGAAACTAGAGCGCAAATTTCTACGAACAATAAATGGTGGTTTGTGAATGAGACTTCTTTATATAAATCATTTACAGCAAATATTTAATAAAATTAAATAAAATTTTATTTATTTATATAAGTTTATTAATAATATTAAATTGTGTAATAAATACAAATCAAATATGGGAAACATAAATTTAATTTTGTAAAAGCATTTGCTTTTACAAAAGTATTACAAACTTTTAATTGCATTTTAGCAGTCAAAATAAAACATTTTAAAAAAACATATTTTCTAAATATTAACATACGTCATTCGGTAAATTAGAGCTTTAGAAATGTTTTCGGAAAAAAACTTTACTAAATTTAAAAAGCTTTCTTTATTAAAATTATAACTTATACGATTTATAACTTAACTAAAATTATAAATTAATTTAAGAAAAAGAAAAGTTTAAGTTTGTGAAAAGATTTGCTATTAAAGTTACAAAAGTTCTTTAAGCGTTAGCAACGAAAAAACATTAAATATGTTTTAACAAAAAGAAATCGTTCATTCATTGTTTTAATGTTTTAATGATGCGAAAACATTATGAATTTATATTTTAATTAAACAAATGAAAGAATGAAAAAAATGAAAGCATATGAACTTCTTTCAAATAAATTTGATGAAATAATAAAAAAAAGTTGACTGCAATATTAAGTTAAGGATGAAGATAATAACAAAAAAAATACATCAAAGATAAATTTATTCATTAAAACAAGATCATTTAAAACTAGGCAGAGAAAAAAACACACAATCAGATGCAATCAAATAATAAATAATTATTTAGGAAGTCAAAAGAATTTTAAATATTTTGTCAGACAGTGCGCTAATAAATAATAATTTAAAATATTTATTGTCTTAAGAACACTGTATAACAAATTAAAAATTATTAAAATTGTGGGAACACCTATATTCAAAAATAAAAGATCGCTCCAAATAATTTTATAATGAACGCGCATAATCGTGCTCGCTAAAAAATATTTGAGTTTTACGGGCCCAAAACATTGTGCTGGACAATTTTCTTCAATATTCATATATTCATATCAAGCCAAGGCCTGATATGAATATATATATATATATATATATATATATATATATATATATATATATATATATATATATATATATATATATATATATATCAGCTGGAAGCGTTAAATAAATAAAAAACATTTATTACAACATTATTAAATTATTTATCATAACATTATTATATCATATATTATAAACCTGATTTAAATATTTTAACCACAATGGTGTATCTTCACCAACATCAAACTCGTTAAGTCCATATAAAAGCTGTCTATTTTTTGCTTCTAAAGTACTCAAACCAAAATTAATATTTGTTGAAAGGTCACACTCAATCTTTCTAAAATCTAGTGTTGAAGCTTTTATTGAACTTGAAAGCTTCATTTCTGATTTTTCCTCCTCCTTATTCAATAAGCAATCCTTTTCTTTTGATTGTGTGTTAAAAAACCAAGAAAACATTTTTTTTAGAACAATCGGGATATATAACTATTCCACTTTCTTTCAATTAACAATATCATTTCTTGTCTGTCTAAAATAACAAATCAAAATATTGAAAAAATTAAGAAATTGTGGAACAGTGTAAGTATATTTAAGTATATAATAATAGAAATAAAATATAACCTATTTTATTTCTATTATTATTCACTCACTGTAAAAGTGCGATTATATATATTTAAATTAAATGTATAAGACACAATTATGTTTATATATACTCTTGATATATATATATATAATTAAGTATTTAATTATTTGCTAATTGCAATTAGAAAATAGTTTCATATTGTTTGTACAAACAGAAACATTTTAAACATTTTTTAACAGTCAACAGCCATTGCATTCCCTTCATACATTATACAAAAGGACAGGTAAAATTTGTAAGTCATAATTAAAAAAATGAAAAAAACTGAAATTTTAAAGTCCCAGTAATAAGTTTTAGGATAGCAGATTATAGATAGTAAAACATTAAAACAAATAGAAACCTAAAGATAAACTCTTATTAAGGATGGTAGCCCTCTTTCCACAGAATTTTCAAACCAAAGTAATTGTGAGCAATAATGTAGAAACAATTGATAACAATATACCTGTACACAATGAAAATAAGCAAGAAATCTTATTTTTAAACTACTGCCTGATAAAAAGCAAATTATGAAAAGACAAGGTGTTCAAAAATAAAAATAAAAATAATAATAATCTCAAGGCAATTATTATGGAGTTTAATAAAGTAACTGTGATGTTTTGAATAAAGTAACTGTGATGTTTTATAAATGTCACATTCATAAAACATTACAATTTGCATATCAGGATTATCTCCAATTGGTACAAAACATTGATGTAATTGCACTTCTACAAAAGAAACCATATCTTTTATAAATCATGATATAGTAAAGCAATTTTTTCAAATGAAAATTAATGTAATAAATATGATCATCTAGCTGTTGTTGAAGACAACTTGATCTTCTAGCTGTTGTTGAAGAGTTTTTTTTATCAATCTTCAAAACTAAATGTTGTTGTATAACTATTGTAGAAATACATACTTACAATACTATTGCAGGTGATATTAATTGTCATAAAAAGTTATGATTTTGTAATGATTTTTCAAACTTTGCTTGCAAAAATAATCTGGTTAAACCTAATATAAATAGAAAATATATTGCAATCCCAACAAAGTCCCTGGTAGTGCCACACTTATTTTGTTTCTTCTCCCAGCAGCATTGTTCATCAAGGCTTCTGTTTTGAAATTATAACATTAGAGATTATTGTAATGGCAATTTGAAATTATAAAAATGGAAGAGTATGGCCTTTTGATTCAGGATTCAAATTAAAAGAAATATTCTTTGTAAACAGTTTAGCCTCATCCTTGAGAGAGGTAATAAAATCAGTCCAATGAATGAGAGATGGATTACTAGACTTACCTTTATTAATGATGCTGTTAAAGATTTTCTAAAACCCCCTCGAGTCTAGCTTTTGAGTTACGAGATTTAATAGTTTAAGAATAATGGAGCTTAGCATCACGCAGCACTTTTTTACATCGATTTCTTGCAATAATGGACTACCACGAAAAAAATCACAAAAAGAACCCCAGTTGATAAAAGAGTGAGTCCAAACCATAGAAGTTATAAGGTTTAGCGCCAGCAGGGTAAGCTAGTTCACAAGGGGTGAGCAAAACCTGTTATTTAGTCTAGTTTGTTAAAATCTGAATCCGATACTAGATTTTTTAAGATAGTTAAAATTCTATATATTTCAGATCTGATTTTAAGATATCTGTTTAAATTAAATCAGAAACCAGTTTTATCTAAATTCAAAACTAATTATACAACAACATGAAGAATAATAATAAATAAAAATAAGTATTTAACTATCTGGGTGTAAATAAAATACTAATTTGTCCTTGTTTTATTATTTCAGGGAGTTCATGCTCCATTTAATTTTTTTTCTTACCAGAAAATTGATAATTTTTGCAAAAACAGTAATTGAAAAAATAAAAGTATATAAAATAAAATATTCAAGCACACAAATTAATTAACATTAAATAATAATTAAATAATATATATATATATATATATATATATATATATATATATATATATATATATATATATATATATATATATATATATATATATATATATATATATATATATATATATATATATATATATACTCTAAAAAAGTCAAAATTATATTTTTAAAAACTGTAAAAAATTCAAATCTTTAAAAAGGTCTATTTACATCTTATCTTCATAAGTTTATTTGGATCAATGTTTTTAAAAACTTCCATTTATTTTTGGCATTTATTCTTAGCTTTTGTGTCAATATCTTATTTAAAAAAAGCTATTTTAATAGACATATATGTTTTAAAAACACAATAGTATGAACAACAGTTTTAATATCCAACCCAGCTAAAATAATCCCCAAACCTACTAAAATTGGACTTTTTATAAACACATTAATTCTTGATCCGAATCAAAATTTATAGAAAAAACCAGATAAAAAAACCAGATAAGATATCAGGTGCTCTTTTTTTAGATCAGATATCCAAACTTTTTGATTTTTTAAATCATGTATCAATTAATACATATATTTTTTGTCACTCTATTGTTTATCATAGAGTTTCATTAGAGGCATCATAGAGTTTCATAGGGGTTCCAAGGGGCATCTTTTGTGAATGATGAAATTTTTAATGTGCTAGAAGAAGTGCAAATTTTGGGTGTTACGCTTTTTTTTCTAATGTTGTTCATCTCCTTATCTGTTTTTCTCACCTATGCTGTTTACCTCACCTATTTTGTTACATAAACCTTAATGAATAAGGTCGCTGCGCGACCTTATTCATCAAGGTTTATGTAACAAAAATTAAAATAAAACTACCAAAAGTCCTTAACCAGTAAACCAATCAGACTGAAATTTTATCTATACTTTGATGTGGCCGTAGGCTACATTTGCATCAATTTTTATCAAATTATATAGAGTGGTTTAAATTTTAAAGGTATACTTATTGGCGTACTATGAAGTCAAAACATCACTCAATTTGAACATTTCCACATACACAAATTTAGTTTTTTTTGTCACAGACAGAATAAAAATATTTCAAAGTTTGCACCTAATGTTACCTTTATGTATAATATTTTTGGGTCAGCTAGGTGAGCATTAACATAATCCATGATAACCACGATATATATATATATATATATATATATATATATATATCATTTTATAATTTTTGTAAAATTATTTTTTAATTTCCATTAATATTTTATTCTGAGCATCTGCTCAGTTAGACTAAAAACTAATTATTTAAAAGTTATTAAAGACTTACTGCCTTTTGTTTAAATGATATGGCTTTAGAGATTAATTTTAGCTTAAAAATCAAACTGACAATTTTGTTACAAAAAAGTTAAATTTAGATGAATTTTTGGCTGAGATTTTTATGTGTTACATCTATCTGATTTAAACTAGGCATGTTTACTATTGATACTTTTTACTGCAAATTAAGTCTTAAAAATCAGTGTTTTAGAATCTTTTATTTCTTAGTAAAAAATTTGCTTGAGAAGAATTTACATTAACTTATTTATTTTGTTTGTTTTTATGATGCCATTTTTTTTTGACAGAATATCAATTCCACAACCATTGGCATTTCAAAGTAATTTTATTGTTTCTGTGCAATGTTTGTCTAAACATCTCATAATGCCTTATAATAATTTTTAGGACAGAACTTTGAGCTATTTGCAACAGTAATATAAAAATATAAATTAAATAAAATAACACAAAATTAGGTATAAAAAAACCCATCAGTTTCTTCCCAGTTTTTTTTTATGTTTCTTTTTTCTAAAAACGGTATATATATATATATACATATATATATATATATATATATATATATATATATATATATATATATATATATATATATATATATATATATATATATATATATATATATATATATATATACATATATATATATACATATATATACATACAATATATATATATATATATATATATATATATATATATATATATATATATATATATATATATGTATACTTATGTATACATACAATATATATATATATACATACATTCAATATATATATATATATATATATTTATATATATATATATATATATATATATATATATATATATATATATATATATATATATATATACATAAATACAATATACATACAACATATCAAAACAAAAACTTAAGAAACATTTCTCAATAAATATGTCATTAATTTATAATACTTAAATAAATTATAAAAGTAGTTTATTTGGAATCTAGTAAAAATAAAAAAACAAATAATATTGAAAGTTTGCTTTAGTATACATGGCATGTATATACTATTAGTTTTATAAATTACATTGAAATACTGTTTTGCAAAACATACTACTGCTGCATCTAATCGACGACTTTACAAACTCGATTAGATTTTTTTTTATAAAGTAAAGGTGATTTGCTGTGTTTTTTAAAAATAATACCGTACTTTTACACGAAATCAAAATAATACCATAACAAACAATACGCATGCGTACTAGGTGCGCGGTATCTACCTAAGTATTATTCAAAGCTTAGTTACCTCAACCACAGATTATATTAATGACATAAAGTAATATAATTTATTCCTTTATGTCATTTATTTCATTATAATAAAAAGGAATTTATTGAATAACTTTCATTCATTTTTCACTAAAAGTAATGAATGAAAATTATGCAATCAAATAATAAATGTAGAAATATTTTTTTCCATTATTATAGATATATTTTTTATTGATTCCTTTTAAACCACTATCCAAGAACTCAGAGGCAAAGTCAAAGTAATGTTACTAGCAAACCAGTCTATAAAGTAGTATATATATAAAATATATATATATATAAAAAAGTCTTTTGAATTTTAAAAAAATTGTTTAACTCATTTCAGATTTACTAAGAGAATAATTAGGATAAACAACGACGCATAAAAACTCTTAAACAAATAAACAAACAAAAATATATAGTCTTAGATGCTCTTTTATTCAATATACATTTTCTCTCTTCCTAAATATTTAAAAATTCAAATTAGGTAAAATTAATCATATTTACATTTACTAACAGACTGCAATTATGAATTTTAATTAATTCATACCTAAGTTTATTGAGTTTTATGACAAGGATTGGCATCTTATTAAACATCAAACCTAAAGATAGTTTTCATATAAATGTTGTTTCTATAAACTTTTTTTTTTTATTTCTAATTATTAGGATATTTAAAAAAAAAATTATTAAATATTTTATTTCAATTATAACATTTGATTTTTAAAATTTTTATTACTACTTGAAGATTAAGTTGCAGAATTTTCTATGCGTAATTTTGTATGCAAAAGTTGCACAAAGCTTATAAGAAAATTATTTTCTACAGTTACTGTAGAAAATAATTTTCTTTTCAGCTTTTTTTAAGCGAATTGTTGCGATGGCAACTATTACACTTTAATAAAAAATGTTAAAAATATTTATTAATTATAACGTTTAAAGTGAATTTAACTTTTACTTATGCTAAATTTAATTTTTTTAATATTTATTAATTGCAACTAATCTTTTAAGACTCCATTTCACAAACCATATTAAAACATTAATTATAAGAAAGGGAACTTCACATGCGTTTTATAAAAATATCCTTTTAAAAACCATACAAGGACATAGGGACATAAAACATACATAAACACAGGGGCGTCGAGAGCCTTTACGCCACCAGGGACAACAAACCTGGTTGGCACCATTATTTTTATAAATTTACCTATATTATTAGTAAAAGATCTTTTTAAGGTACCTTATTTTTTATTTGTCACCCCTTGGAGATCTGCCGCTCAGGGTAAACTGTAACGTTCGCTACCCCCTCCCCTCCCTCTTATTTTTCTCGGCACCTTATGCATGGACATGAAAAAATTAGTATTCGTTAAGAAATACTTCCGATAAAAAGTAATTATTAAAAAGTGGAAATCTTTGCCAAACTATGTTGGTCAAGGTTTTTAAATTGCTTTCATACAATCTTTACCTTTAACGGCTTTAGTAGCATTCCAGTATGCTGCGCATCAATGTGTTTTGTTGTTAGGGCAATTTTTTTATTATTTTAAAATTGCAAACGTAACAATTTTAATTAAGCTAGCAAATGCGTAGTCGCTGGATTTTGTTACTACCCAAACGTCATAACTTTAAATTGCAAATAAAGTTTAAATTAAACACATATTAAGTATTGAAAAGTAAAACAGAGAATATATATAGTAACTTAATTTTTTAGGCTGTTAATTAGTTGTTACACAGAGAATAATAGTAGAGAAATATTCGTTAACAGTTTCAACTTTTTATCGTAAAAAGACAGAAAATTGGAAACATTTTTAAAAGTAAGGAGAAAACTTTTAAGATAAAATATTTGTAAACCTATTTTCTGTTAGAATAGAATAAAAAAAAAAAAAAAAAATAGAAAAAAAGTCTAATTTAGTCACAAATAATTTTAATCAGAAAGAAAAAAGTTTAAAGTTGTTTTTTTACTAAGAATTTTAAATTTTAAAACCAATTAGAATACTTTAAGCCTGGATTTAAAACAATAAAACCGCTATAAGAAGTTTTAATTATTTCTACAATAACAAAAATAAAAAAAGACGACTTAAAATAGCTTTTAACTCTTTCAATTACCGAATTCTATAATGAATATGAGAAAAAAGATTTAAAAAATTGTATTAAATAAATATATCAAAATTTAATAAGTTTATTTATTAAATAAAGCAAAATTCGATTGAAATTTAAAAATCCTTTTTTTTTGTATGCTCGGACTTTTTTGATGATTTAAAACTTATTTTGACATTCTTTTAAGCTTGATCTCATTAATGAAACTTTATAAACTGTTTTTTTTTAAGACTCATTTTAAAGCCTTTTAAATCAAAAAATTAAAATAAAAATGTTATTTTTGCAGTAATAAAAATTATCGAATTTATAAAAATTCAAATATGTTATAAATATATGTAATTAAGGAAGAATCCTGTTATTATTTTGGTTAAAAAGTAACAATTTCAATTGTTTTGACATTGAACAATTAAATTGCAGAATTAATTTGTCAATTAATTCAGCAATTTTAAATTGTTTAATTTGTCCGGGGTTATAGCTCCCTAGCCTCCCAGGACTAGAGAGCTATAACCCCGGCCCTCGCAGTTTTGGGGGCCTCAATTCAAAATAAATTTTTTTTTAAAAGAAACTCTGAAAATATTATCTTTGAGTAATAACTTGGAGAGGGGCCTCCTGCATTTTAAAAAGGCCTAGGCCTTCAAAATTTTTTATCCACCATAGCATTTTTACAAATTATTTTCTCTCAGAAATGATAAAGAAGCATCATTAAATATCTTCTCAAACACCTTAAGGTATTTAGTAATCACAAAGCTCATAGCAACCATTTAATATATTTAGTTAGGTTTTAAAAACTAGAGGTTCAGAGCCAGGTACTACTCTTTTTAATGTCTCCATTAATACTATATTCTTAATGACAGTGTCGTACTAAGGGGGCTGACGTGGGTGCAGCTCTAGACCCTCCGGTTTTTGACCTTAATTTTTTAAAGAAACAGATAACTTTTTTTCCATGGTTTTTCAGTTTTTTTATAACAAATTTCTTGGGAGGCGTTGCAAATAAATAAGTTAAAATATAGTGTTCTATTTAAGTTTGATTTTTTAATATTATAAATTTTTTCCGTTACCACAGAAAATTTGATCATAAACCATTCGTGTATTTTTAGTTGTATTTCGATTTGCATTTAATTGCAACCAGAATTACAAGAGATTCGCAAAAAAAAATTTAGTATGGAAAAATGTAAAAATGCCCAAAATTTTTAAAGAAAACGATACTAATCAATACAATGTAATGTGTGAAAATGTTGATTAGTTTTTCAAACTAAGAAAGATAATAGTTTGAATAAACATTACACTTTAATGAGCAAAAAACAAAATGAAAAAGTACTGTAAATCTTGTAACTCAATTACAAAAACAAGTTAAACATTTTTTTTCAATATCGCTGAGGCAGTAAAGGATTAATTCCTATAAGCATTTCACTCCATAAAAATAAAACAAAAACTTCTCAAATAGACACGATTAGCACGGATCCTTATAATACCTACCTAGCTGTTCCAAACACGCCACTTATACGGAAAGTTAGCGTACACATCAAGGTACCCTGCAATGCAAATTTTGAGATCATTTAATTTTGTCCGTGGAAAATAATTTAATTTGAATGTTCAAATTAAGTCAAATTTTGACTTCATAGTGCGCCAATAAAAACACTTGTAGAATTTGAACCGCTCAATATAATTTGATAAAAATTGATGCAAATGTAGCCAATAGTAACACCAAACTCTGGACCTGATTAGATGACTGGTGTAGGGCTTATTGCAGTTTTAGTTGAAGTTTTGTCAGTTTCTTGCTACTTATACCTCAAAGCGTTACCGTTTACTTTGAAATTCGGTCACTATTTTTAAAATAACGGTTATTCTCGTTTTACTCGTCATTCAGCTAAATCTCATTCGTTTACTGTATCTGTCCCTGTGTGCTCTAAAAACTTTTATTCATCTAGTTTTTTCCCCGTACTTCGATACTTTGGAAATCTCTCCCATCTTCATGTTTTCCTGACTCATACAACCTTCAACTTTTTAAGTCTCCTGTCAACCGTTTCCTTGCTCTATAACTCTGTTCTTTTTTTTTCTTCCTAGTAACTCCCAACTTAATAGTGGTTGTTTGCAGCCTTGTTGGGAGTGAATGCAAATAATAAAAAAAAAAGATGAGTATTCTACTATGTAATACCAACAGTTTTTGTTATAGTTGTTTTATCGTCCATGTACAGTTTTCATTTTATAGACCAAAATAGTGATTTGGCACTTAAAGCGTGATTTGAATTGGCTTATGCCAATGGCGTTGCCACGGCATTCAAAGTGGAGGAGGTCAACCCCTAAATTTCTAAAACAAATTCCATAATTTCTAAAATAATTGCCTATATTTCTAAAACAAAGGTCCTTGCACAAAAAAGTGGACACGCTATGACTCCCTTGACGGCCATGTATGCATAGTGTGAATATACTGAAATTTCCTAAGGTAATGCCAGAACTAATGCCAGAATGCAAAAAAATTCTAAAGAAATTGTTAAGAAGGATTTCTAGGAAATAAAAAAATATATTTATCTGAAAATAAAACAACTGTGAAAAAACAAAATATTTTTTATATTGACAAAGATAATTGACTTAAAAAATTTAGATAAGTTAACTAAGATATCTAACCAATACAAAGTTTGGAGGGCCAGTAGGAGGAAATTTACTCTGAACTGAATAACTAATTAGGTTGAAGGCTTGCTTTGAAATAAAACAACCCGTGTGACAAATATCATTAGTTTATAAGTGTGACAATTATCAATAATGTAATTTCCTTGCAAATAAATAGTTTAAACAACTGTTTCTTGGTAAGGAATTAACTATTCAAGAATTATTTCCTTGTAATTTAATACTATCTCAATTAAATCAAGTAAACATTTTCTTTATTTTAATAGTTTTTGATTAATAATATGTGTTACTATGTTAAGTGGATTGTTATTAAATATAAATTTAGGTCAAATTTTGTAAAAGGCATTGATTTTCAAGAAGATCGAATATGTTAACTGTACAAGAACAAGATCAATATCAGTGATACTCGGGTACCAAAAGAATTCTGTGAATCGTGTAGAATTACTTTGCGCAGGAAACAAGAGGGGAAAGAAGTTGCACTCCCTCCTTTGTTTGATTTTAAGTCAATACAAGTGAGACCTGAAACAAGAGACACAATGTGTTGTTGCCTAATATGCCGAATTTGCTGTTCAAAGCTGCAAGAAATATAAAAAAATGTGTTGAAATTAGTCACAACGTAAAATTATCAAGCAAAAAAAATCTCTGAAAAATAAATAGAAGAATGACAGGAAATGTAAAAAATTCTTATTCGGTATATTTTAAATTGCAATTATTTACAAGGGTCAGACATTGTTCTCAACGCTACAGAACTGCTTCGTTCTTTTAATAATTTTGTTCATTCCTTTTGGAGCCAATTCACAGAAATTGAAAAGTAATAAAAAGATCTGAGTTCCGACTCGTAAAAAGATAAAGAAAGGCGA